GAGAGGCCACCACTACTGCTGCTTCTGCTGCTACTGCTGAGGACTGAGCTCATGTCATCCGCCAATGGCTCCTGGGATCTTTCCTAATTACCTAGCGTGGACCTGCGTGGACCTGCGTGTAAGGGGTCTGGTGACCCAGCCTGGCATGTGAGGGGTCTGGTGACCCAATCTGTACAATGGGTTTGAAGGGTCTGAGGCCTAGCCCTGACAATACAAATGGAAACTTAGTATAACTAAAATAATGAGAAGTTTTGGCTTTAGTTATGAATCACTTTATGAATTGCTGTAGCAAGACAGAGGGAACAAAAATTTGAATGGGCAGTCAGGACAGGTCACTCTGAAGAGGTGAAGCTGAATTCTGGAGGATGAGTAAGAATTAGCCAAGCTGAGGGAGAGGGATGGGAATATTCCAGAGAGGTTAGCAGCACATGCAAAGGACCTGAGACGGTAAAGAAATGGGAATATCCTCTTACCAAGAGGAGGACAGTATGGACGTGGAGTAATGACCGATGAGGAGAATGCAGTGAAATAGAGGGCTTTGTAACCTTTCACTTTAACTTCAGTGAGTGCCAAGGGGAACACTGAAGGCTTTAAGTATGTGCAGGGAACAATTAGTGTCCGAGTGACCTCTCTGATTGTTCCAAGGAGAATGGAAGGCAGAGGGGCAAGAGTGGAAGAGAAGCAGTCGGCTGGTCCTGGGGGTCTGGGTGTGGGTGGAGGTGGTTAGACCAAGGGAGCGCAGTAGAAATGAGGCGAAACAATGAGTTTTAGATTTTGCCAGGCCTTTGGGCCACATCTTACTAACACCGAGAGCAGCATCCTCTGCAAGGAGACTGATAGCGCTGTGGCCCATCTCTCTTCATTGAGTAGAGTCTCCCTCCCTCCCTCTTCCCTTCCTCTCTCTGTCTTTCTAAATATCTCCCTCTGTCTCCCTCCTAGTGAGGATATAAGATTGGGATTGGAAAATCATAACAACATAGGGGCCGGCCCGGTGGCGCACTGGATAGTGCGCCGCTTGGGAAGTGCGGCGGCGCTCCCGCCCGAGGGGTCGGATCCCACATACAGACCGGTTCCCGCTCACTGGCTGAGCGAGGCGCGGGAGCAACACCGAGGGTTGCAATCCCGTTGCCGGTCCCCGGTCCGGGACGGGGGCAACACTGGGGGTTGCGATCCGTTGCCGGACATGGAAAAAGACAAAAAAAAAAAAAAATCATAACAACATAGGGGCCGGCCCGGTGGCGCACTGGATAGTGCGCCGCTTGGGAAGTGCGGCGGCGCTCCCGCCCGAGGGGTCGGATCCCACATACAGACCGGTTCCCGCTCACTGGCTGAGCGAGGCGCGGGAGCAACACCGAGGGTTGCAATCCCGTTGCCGGTCCCCGGTCCGGGACGGGGGCAACACTGGGGGTTGCGATCCGTTGCCGGACATGGAAAAAGACAAAAAAAAAAAAAAATCATAACAACATAGGGGCCGGCCCGGTGGCGCACTGGATAGTGCGCCGCTTGGGAAGTGCGGCGGCGCTCCCGCCCGAGGGGTCGGATCCCACATACAGACCGGTTCCCGCTCACTGGCTGAGCGAGGCGCGGGAGCAACACCGAGGGTTGCAATCCCGTTGCCGGTCCCCGGTCCGGGACGGGGGCAACACTGGGGGTTGCGATCCGTTGCCGGACATGGAAAAAGACAAAAAAAAAAAAAAAATCATAACAACATATAAACTGGAAACTCTGATACTCCAGAAATAGTAAATCCTAGGGAAATCCCAGATCTAATGAGGAGTAGCTAGTGCCCTATAATTTGTATAAAGTGACAGTATGGGGGGACAAGGACTGGATGTCCAGGCTTGACGCTCAGCTCTGCCCGATTCTTGGTCTCAGAACAGCAGTCAAACTGTCCTTCCTGGGTGAGTGCAAGGAACAATTACGCTCCAACAGTTCTCCCCAAAGCCATCAGCCTCCAGCACAATGAGGCATCTCACCTTTATCTGACTTAACAACATAATTAAGTAGAAAGAGCTGAGAAAGGATTTTCACAGCTAGTGGTGTTTTAGGGCTAACTAACTTCCACAAGGAGAATACAATTTTAAGCATCAGTTTTAAAATGTCATATTTCTTGTTCGAGTTTTTATTGTTTTTTTAAGAGTGTCCTTCAAAGAGTGGTAGATAGTTGAAATTGTGTTAAAAAAGCAATTTTCCTTTTATCCTAAAAAAATAAATTTAGACATAGTCATATATGGAATGACCTGTAGACTTAGGATGATTCTCTACCTGCTAAATAAGAATGTTTCAGACATTTTAATTCAGAGCTGTTCGCAAATACTTCACACATTTCATGCCTATTGATTATTTTCATTCATAGCACAGCTGTTTTTACATTTAAATCCCAAGTTTGTTTGTTTTTTTTGCCACTAAAGATGTCACATTTACTCTTCCTAGAGGGGAAACGCTGTGTTCTTATAACTCACATCATTTAATTTATAAGCTGGTTTACTTGTAAGTGGGCTTCTCTGTCAACAAAGGGGTATTTAGTAGCTCTCCCCAAATGTGAGTTTCTCTTCAAAATACAAAAGGAACCAGACAGTGTTCCTGCCTGGAACTCAGGAGTTCCTGCCTGAGTGGGTTGTTATTTGCTGGAGGGACTGTTGTTCATTGTTTGCTGGAGGGTGTGTAGTTATTGTCTTCTGTGGGGTATTTTCACAAAACTTTCTATGCACCTCCCTTGTTAAAAAGAACAACAGTAAGATCATCCTAGTGGGCTTATTCCTCATCTTGTGGTAAATACTTTGCATCGATCCTAGTGGTCTTTGGACCTGCGTTTTGGCAGCCTCGGGAGTGAACTGAACATATTTTCCCTACAGCGTTCTGAACTTTCACAGCATGGCTTGCCTTGGTCAAGGACGAGGTCCGGCATGAAAAGCCTATACCATACCTGAGCTTAGTAGATAAGCCCAGGACACCAGGTGTCAGAGAAGAATCACAATTCAAAGAAACACAAATTTTGGTTCCTACATTTAGGATGAATAATCTGATAAAGACTAAAAATTGCCTTTTCTTATATTTTTTTTCTGTAAAATTTTATGTATAGTTCTCAAACTGTAATGGTGACCTCGTTTTCTTAGATCCTCTCTCATCTTTCTCCGTCATCTTTGCAGGAAAGACTACTCTGACTTTCTGAATCTTTTGGAAAACTAGTAGAGGTGCTCAGTAACCTTGGGCCACAGGAGGGGGGTGACTTACAGCCTCCACATTTGTGCCCGAGTTTTCCTCTTCTGGAGAGTTCCTGATTGTGTAACTACTAAGAAGCTGCCACGGTGCTTGGGAGATGAGTATTAGGTACTTTGACAGAGATTTCAGTTGATGATGCCTTTCAATTTCATTTGTATCTTCATTTACAGACCATTTCCTCAAGCATATACCTGGCACTGTATGGCTATGCGCACTCATTGACTCAGAGACAGAATAGAGCTGTCAGGCAGTCTGGAGATCACCCAGTTAATCTGCAGCCATTACATTTGAGAAACCTGGGCCCAGAGAGATTAAGTGGCTCACACAAGGGTTTACAGTGAGGGTGAAATAACCAGAGCCAGAGCCTCCTATGCCCAGCTCATGGTCTTTCACCACTAAATGCCTCTAAGCACAATCATCTGCAAATAATTTATGTGACCCTCCCACTCTGTGCTTTTCTTTTCTCTTTCTGTGCAGAGACCTCACTTTCTCTTTCTTCCAATTTGCTTTCTAGCATTTGAGGAGCCCACTCCAGGTGTCTCTTTGACTTCTTCTCAAAGTTCTTGTACAGAAGCTATCCTAGCATGAAGCCAGGGTTGGGCAAAGAATCTATGAACGAGGTCATTGGCTACCAGTTGACCTTCTATCTTTCTTTTCGTACAACATACACCCTGGCCCCCCACACCCAGATTAAAGCACTTAGCCTAAGTTAATGTGCTCCTTGCTACAAAAAGTTATAAGAACATTGTAGAGATTTCCCAGACCAACCAGACCAAATCTCAAGTTGGAGCATGATCCAGAACATGGCAGCAATGGGTGTGTACAAGAGGGGCTCACAGAGGGCTCCACTGAGATTTACGAGCACGTTACAATACAGTAACCATTTAACAACACCTGTTTAGTCACAGGATTGACAAATCATCAGGAAACACTTTACTTAGAAAAATGGCCTTTTATCCATCATCCATCCAACCCATTCATTCGCCTGTCTACCCACCAGTCTATTTGATCTTCTTGCTGCCTGTTCTAGAAAGGATTTGAGCTGCAGGTCCTAACGAAACATTATGGTAGCTCTGTTATAAATGAAATAGTCTTACTGATGAGATCATCACACAAAATAAAATGCAAAAATATTCATGTTATAAAACTTCATAGTATATAAAAATATATTATTTATTAAGCATATTAATAAATATATTATTTAATAATAATATATTATTTATATAATATAATATAATATAATAAATATAATATATTGTTAATGTTGACTTTTTTCCATATAACCTCCTTTTTAAAAACGTTAGGGTTATTTCTACCATTTCCTTTTAATCTCTTCATTTCTCTCTCTCCATTCCTTAATGTCAAAAGGAAATGGTAGGAATTATCCTAATTTTTAAAATGTATATGTATATACATAAAATATACATAAATTAGAGAGAGAGCGAGCTACTGCTGTCTTTATAACTTTTGGTAATTACTCTATCATAAAAACCAGAAAGCCTCAGTTGACTGACTCTACCCCCATACTGATGAAGTATAAAATCATAAAGAAATTTTTTCCTACTAAGAGGGCAGCTGAAGGGCAAAAAAGAATTGTTTTTCAATTAGTTAGCTATGATTAGTGATGGTGAAGAAAATAGCATGCATCATTCACAAATCACGTGGAAAAAGCAGAATATAACAGGCCTGTGTCAACAAAGGGCATTGACAGTTCCTTGGATTGTGACAAAAGTAACCAGTCTTTCCCCAAATTCAGAAACCGAACTGCAAGCCCTTACCTTGGAGGGCCTGTAAGCTATGAGTCTGTACGATAATGCAGAGCTGCAGGACCAGCTGCGGAGCACTTTCCAGAAAGGTGGCCAGCAGGTGCAGCATACTCACGTCAGCGTACTCATACACCATCTTCCAGTAAAACCTCCATCTGTCATTCTCCCCACTCCGTCGGCTTCGGATACCTAAGTATATTGTGTGGAAATATCTAGAAAGAAAACATGGAGAATAAGAAAGAGATGAGCGATAATTTATCATTGGAACTGCAGACTTGTTCTTCTTTTCTGCAAGCACTCACATGAAACGACGACACTGGTGGCTTATGATTTAAGGGCCAAAGTTAACTGCCTAAGAGTCCCTTATTCTTAAATCCTCCCTTTGAGAAGTCGCTGCAACGTTAGTCCTCAGTACAGTCACTTCATTGAATTGCAATATGAGGCAGAGCGAGGTGATATGTGGTGGAAGCTCAGGTGTAGAAGGCATTCGCTACTTTAAAAATCTACATACTTCCTTTCTGGTCAGTTCCTCTATGTGCTAAATAGTATTCATGACGTGAATTTCTCCTAGGACATAATACAAGTCTGAAATACTAAAATGTATGTGCTTGTAAACCCTCCTTATGTCTATTTTTTAAAAAACTGGGCTGGCCAGTTAATTCAGCTGGTTAGAGCGTGGTGCTGATAACACCAACGTCCAGGATTTGACCGCTGTACCCGCCAGCTGCCAAAAACAAGCAATACGCACCAAGAAATTTCTTATTATTAAAAATTTCAAACATATACAAAAAGACAAAAAAACAGGGTAATGAATCCACTATGCCTTTCACCCAGATTAAGTAATTATCAATAGTTAATTTTCAATTTTAATGAAAATTATCAATTTTCATTTATACCACCACTTATTCCCTGCTACCAGATTATTTTGAAACAAACCCCAGGCATCACACTATTTCCTCTGTAAATATTTTATGAAAAATAATGTAAAAGCCAATACCATTATCACACAAATAAATGACAATATTTTCTTAATATTATTAAATACTGTGTTCATATTTTCCTGATAATCACAATTTTTTTAACAGTTTATTTGAAATGCAATCTAAACAAGGTCCATACTTGATAATTACTCAACATGTTTCTTGTCTCTTTTACACAATGGGTTCCCCTTTCATTTCTTTTTTATTTCTTGCATATTTTTCATTGTCTTGATTTTGATCATTGTATTTGTGTGTGGTTAACATATCTGTCCTTTGTGTTTTCTGCAAATGGGTAGTTAGTGATAGGACTTTGATCGGATTCAAGTTTGATTATATTTAGCAGGTGATGTGTACTTTTCAGCAGGAGGTACATCATGACTAGTTGTTCCTTTTTGATGATATTGCAATCAGGGTTGCAAAATGGTGACATTCTGAGTCCATCACCCGTCTTTATTTTTTAGCTGGAATAGTTCTCCAGCCCTTTTGTCAATGTCTTTGCAGTATTTGGTTGTCTAAAGCTTGCTCTCTAGCAGATCCATCAAGCAAGGCACGAAGGGACAGTATTCCCTGAGTTCTTGCATATTTAGAACAGTATGAGGTGATCAATCTTGCTCTGGGTGGGGATAAGCTTCCTTTGGTCATGCAGATCCTAAAGTTTCATAGTTTTAGTTGGAGATTGGTGCCCACTTCCAGAGGCTGTGGAAGAGCTGTATTTACCTAAGGCAAAGACCTTCAGATACCAAGAGTGGAGGGTAGCAGGAATATAGCAAGGAAATGCCAGCATAGAAAAGCCTGTGCAACCTTTTCACTGGGAGGTCAGGTTGGAAAGATGTAAAATTCATGCATATTCCATGTAAGATCTAAGATCGTGAGCTTTTCAAACTTCTTTCATCTCATTTTGAAATATTTGCTTATGGTTTTCATTTGATCTGCACATGTGCTTTTCTGGTATGCTCTCATTGTCTGTAGCAACATCATTAGTTTTCTCATTCTCTTTTCTTTATATTAATTTTGACCCTTTTCTTGTTGCTAAGTTTTAAAAGTTAATTTAGTTTTCATGTACGTTTAGAAGGGATGATGGGCTAGGAAGGTTTTGCTGGTTTCACAGCTTTAGAGCACATTCTTCTGCTGTTCTTATGAAGTGATGAAAAACAATGTCACTCGTTACTTTCTGGAGATCAGCCGGACCTTCCCTTTTATTTAGACCTTCTCTTCATTTCTGGTGCTTGTCCCTGTCCTGCTCAATTTGAAATCTATTCCCAGCAGATTCTGTTCAGCATGGAGCCTTGCTTTGGAAAGCTCTTCAGTTTGTTAGGTAATGGGATTAAAGGACCCAGCCTGCTCCAATAGCATCAGACTATTGCATTATGGCCTCCTTGGCTCACCCGTGCACTGGAGACTGACAACCTCCCAGTCTCTCCTACTCCCCTGAGGTTGGCCCATTGCACTTCCCAGTAAGTGCCTGTTGGGGATTTGCGGGTTCTCCTGTTCTCAAGGTCTTCCCTCTACTGTCTCCTGCATGGTTGTTGATATTGCATGGATCTTATAAGCTGACACTAATTTGTCCCCAGGTAATTATGGGGGTATCTGAACACTGAGTTTTATTGCATGTCTTGTCCATGATTCTTCAGTTTTGCCAACTTAGTTGCTCTGCATATTTTACTGGGATAATTTTGGTAGATTGAAAAACTATGTTGACACTGCCACTATATTTGCAAAACACTATCAGTTTAACATACAAAACAGATTTAATCATTCCCCTGGACCTTTGACTACTCTGTACAAACTGTGAGGTGAAGTTTGCTAGAGCACAGTTTACAGGGCTTTTGTGAGCAGATGCCTGTGTTCTGGACCACTCTGCAGCGGCAGCTGTGACTAGGCCAGTGCAAAACTGCTGATGTTTCCTTTCTTACACCTCCATGCCTTTTCACAAGCTCATTCTTTTCTTGTAACAGCCTTGGAATAGCTTTTCCTGCTTCTTTGACTACCAAACACATTTTTGAACAAATAGTCTCCATTCGATCACCTCCAAACATCCCTCAGTCCTCCACACACAGGTACCTTTCCACCTGTTTCTGTTAGAATCCTAGCGCTGCTTTAACAAGGTACCACAGACCAGTGGCTTAAACCACAGAAACTTCTTATCTTTCCGTTCTAGAAGGTAGAAGTCTGAGATCAAGGTGTCATCAGGGTTGGTTCCTTCTGAGGGCTGTGAAGAAGGATGTATTCCACGCCCTTCTCTGATAGCTTCCGTGGTTTGCTGGCAATCTTTGCCAGTCCTTGGCTTGTAGATGCCTCACCCCGATCTCAGCCTTCATCTTCACATGGCCTTCTCCCTGTGTGTGTCTGTTTCTGAGTCTAAATTTCTCTTTTTAATAACCACACAGTCACATTGGACTCAGAACCACCCCAATGATCTCGTCTTAACTTGATCATCTGCAAAGACCCTATTCTATTTCCAAAATAAGGTCACATTCACAGGTATGGAGGGTTAGGACTTCAACATATTTTAGGGGTGAGGGACACAAGTCAATCCCTCACACTCTTCCATCAGTGTTAGATATTGTTCACCCCATGACTTCTCCTCTCCTGTATGGTGATTTCCAAGTCGGCATCTCACATTCCAGCCCTTCCCTGAGATACAAATGTCCACCTGTTTTCCAGCAGTCCCACAAGCACATGAAGACAAACACATTCAGAGCACCTTGCTAGGCTTCCTTCTAACTGTCCCACCTCCTATACTGGTCATGCACGCTGCTATCCATTAACTCACCCAAGCTAAGCCCAGTGGGCATTTTAGGACCCTACTCTCCCTTACCCCTTATAACTGATAACAGACTATGCTCTTGAACTTTTATATTTTTAATACCTTTCTTTTTCTCTTTCTTTTCTAAAGTCTGATTTTTGGGTTTCTGTTTTGGTTCTGTAATCTATTCATAGTGTGACCCTGGGCTTAACATCTCTCTGCCTTAATATTAATACTTCCGTCTCTAAAGGGGAAGATAACAGTGACAATCACATAGGTTGATCTGAGGATTAAATGTAATAAAAGTGAGCGACTTAACACAGAGCCTGGTGGACAGTAGGCATTCAATAAACGTTAGTTCTTACTATGAATTGACATTGAATCCTCTCATGAATTCTTACCATTGCTTCCAGAGCCACCTGTCAGTAACAGAAATTGAATTCAATCTCTCCCATCTTAAAAACATTAATGACTCCCCACTGCCTTCAAGATAAGTAAACTCAAATAATGCAAATAAAGGCACTTAAGGCTTTTGGTTTAACCTTTCTAATCTAACCATTGACCTCTACCTCCCCTCCCTCCATCTCATACCCTAAGATCCCACAGTATTGAAGCACTTGCTACTCCTTGGATGTGAATTCACAGCTCAATACATTTGTTCCTGGGGTTTTCTGCCCTGGGATCCTGGATTGCCTGTCCTCTCTCCTTATCACCCCGAGTATCAAGTATTGCTTCTCCCTCAACCTCTTTCCCACCCAGGTAAAACTGGCCATTTCACTGACTGTGCCCAAACTATCTTCTTTCAGACTTTGACTAGGGAAAAATAATATTAGTTTTGTATTTATTCATTTGTGAGTTCATCTCATATCCCAAAATATAAGCTCCCAGAGAGGAGAGAATTTGTCTTTGTACCCCTACATCTAGCTCAGTTTCTGACAATTAATAGACACTCAATTAATTCACATCCTTCTTATTCATTCAACAAGTACATATTGAACACATGAAATATTTGCAATTTTGTATTTTTTTCCAAGGGAAATGAGAAGTCACTGGAGAGTTTTGAATAGAAGGATAAGGAGTCTGACTTGCATTTAAACAGGACTGGTTACTGTGTGGAAGACAGAAGACAGCGGGGCTACTGCAGTGATCCAGGTGAGGGAAGCTACTGTCTTGGATTAGCATGCAGCGGTATTGGAGAGTGCAGACAGCATTTGCATGTTGAGTGAACAAAGTAATGAATAAATGCTCAACTTCCTTGCAACTATCATTGAAGTTTTAAGTCCAGGAACTCCATGGCATTAACAGAGAGCAGAACTCCCACAAATGACTCCCTGAGCTATTTATTTCTAGTTTTCACCTAGGGGAGAGATTAAACTTCTCCCAGCTCTTTGCCATCACAGGCTAAAAGCTACAAATGGAGCTCCCAGGCCTGTGGCCCACAGGGACATGAACGTTTCAGGCGCAATGAAGCATTTGTTTTTGCAGC